AGATTAGCCTTGTGGACGCGATAGTGAGATATGGGCTGGGAGATAGCACTTAGAACGGGTTGAGTGACTAGGCCTAATAAGTAGTGATTAATGGAATGATGCCAGTATGGATGGATGTCTCTTGAACAGGGGCTATGTGAACATGGTGGTAGAAAAAAATTCTTCTTTGCAATGGGGGTTAAGCGACTTGCCCAGGGTCACAAAGCTGAAATGTGCCAAGTGTCTGAAAGTCAAATTTGAACTCAGATCCTCTGACTCCAGGGCAGGTTCTCTATCTTCAGTGCTACCTAGCTGCCCCCTTTTCAATGCAGTATAAGCAAGGAGGGGATAATGATAAGAGTAGAAATTTCAGCCACCATGGCAGGTCAGCAGAAAAGATATTTTTGGGCAAGAGACTTTTTTTGGTATTTCTCATAACCCTGGGACTAAGCCCCTGTTCATGTAACTGTGAGAGCCTATGAGAGCCTATTACTTCCCTCTTAACACTTAGTACCCAGTAGGTCAAGAGGAGATAGAATGTTTTTGACTCATTGAAATTTCCCTTCCATGAACTTACCACCATGGACTGATAATAAGGAAATCAGAAACTCAGGTGGGGCAAACTACATTATGAAGCACTGGGGATCAGTTTTGCAGGCCCATAAATAATTCCTTAGGTTGTTTGCTTTCAAAAATCTGTAAGTTTCCCTGGTAATTTTTTTTTTTACCTTCCCTAGCCCCAAAGGTCAAATATGACTAAAAGGGATGTTGTCAACATCCCACTAAACTAATTCATTTTACTTCCTGGAGTGAAAAATTTATTAGTATTTTAGCATTATAATAACTAGTGCAGTGTCTTTGGGCCTAGCTTGGTATATGTTGTTGTTCAGTTATGTCTGCCAACACTGTCCTTGGGGTTTTCTTGGCAGAGATACTAAAGTGGTTTGCCATTTCTTTTTCCAGTGGATTAAGGCAAACAGATTAAGTCGCTTGCCCAGGGTTATATAGCTAGTAAGTGTCTGAGGCTGGATTTGAACTCGGATCTTCCTGACTCCAGGCTCAGAGCTGTATCTACTGAAACACCTAGCTGCTTGTAGTTAATAAATACTTACTGATTGATGTAAGTGTTAGGTAGTTTTTTCTTCCTCTCTGCACTCCACAACATTTCTCATGGTTCTAACACCCAGTGGAAATGTTAGAGGAGTTAGACCGCCAGAGTAGAACCCAAGCATACTTCTTCCTCCCCGTCAGCATGCTCTTGCTTTCATCTCTACAGGTTTGTTTGCCAAACAGCTTTCTTCACTACCCCCCACCTTCTCTCAGGAGCTAATCTCTTCTATGGGGGATGGTAGTTGTGCACTGAGTCCCCCTACTAAGTAAACTCTCCTCATTTCAGAGAGGAAGGCTTAATTATGGGTTGAGGATTTTCAGAGAAAACTGTTTAGCTTGGGAGGAATCAACCATGTTAGAAAAAGGTTAGTAAAAAATGAATGCCCCTTGCCTTTTCCTTGGGCAAAAGAGGAAACAACAGGAGGATTACTAGTGAAATGATCAGCACCTGATTTTATATATCTATAAATCTATATATTTAAAGTGTCTTGTTTTGATTCAACACTTGGTAGGTAGGATCCATATTCAGTCAAACGATGTGGTGCTGTCTTTTGGGATTATAGGTTGTAACAGAGAGCTTTTGAAATGAATCTGTGTTCTGAGTAATCTGGCTAAGGCACACACCATTAAGTTGGCTCTGAAATATTTTGTACACTGTATTAAGATTTAATTACGTTCCAACTTGCAATTATCTTTCTCTTCGGCTGTTCTCCATTGCTCGCTTTGCCTTACAATTTTCCTCGGCTCCTGTTATTAGTGATAGACTTGCAATGTTGTAAGTCTGTGCAGGCAGGAAAGGTGGGGGTGGGTGAATATTATGATTGTACGGGTCTTTTGCCAGACCAGGGGCCAAGAAAGTCGCTTCTCTAATAAAGCCAGCCTACAAACTGCAGGAAGCGAGCTATCACCTGGAGTGACCCATTTATTGGGAACACACTAATACAAAATGGAAAGAAGCAGAGCTAACAGCAATTATACACTTCAATGTCTCATTTTCCATTCTGGAACAATGAAGTTAAAGCCAATAAATTTCATTTTCTTGTTCACATCGCTAGCTTTATGTTGCTGATCAGAGTACAGCGTCCTTCAACGGGGTCTCCTGGCAATCCTTTAACTTTGCACCATTCCCATATAGCTAAGCTCATTAATATCTAGACCCTATAGAAAAGAAACTGCCAAAGACCCTTTGCTACACAGTTAGGGAATGTGGATTTATTTATAGAGTGCATCATGCAGGTCTTTTGCAATTGCAGGGGATATGGACCAGGAAAATTTAATTCACTTGCAGTTAAGTGTACAAGTAAGGCAAGATAGCATGATGATAACAATAGCTCAAATTACTGTAGCACTTTAAGGTTTCAAAAATGCTTCTTCCACAACAGTCCTATGAGGTAGGTAGTAAATGTATTATTATTCCCACTACAAAGATGAGAAAGCCTGAGGCCCAAAGGAGATCATCCTGCTTAATTAATAATCACACAACTAGTTAAGTGTCTAAATCGGGAGCCTAGGTCTCCAGTTTCCAAGTTTATCACTCTTTCAATTCTAATACACACACATACTTGTGTGTGTGTATATATATTTTTGTTGTTGTTCAGTTGTGTCCAATTCTTTGTGACCCCATTTGGGGTTTTCTTGGCAAAGACACTGGAATAGTTTGTCGTTTTCTTCTCCAGATAATTTTATAGATGAGGAACTGAGGCAAACAGGGTTAAGTGACTTGCCCAGGTCACACAGCTAGTTAGTGTATGAGGCCAGATTTGAACTCAAGAAGATGAGTCTTCCTGACTCCAGGTCTGGCACTTTATCTGCTGTACCAGCTAGCTGCCATGTGTGTATGTGTGTATATTTATATGTAGGTGTATACATGTATATGTATATACACCTGTGTGTCTATACTTATATGTATGTATGAATATATTTGTTTCCTATACCTCACCTCTCTTCCTTCCCGTTCTCCCAGCCCAAATAAGAGAGAAATAAGTCAGGCAGTCAAAACCTGGAATTTTTTACCCCAAATCATGTGAATTTTCTTCACCTGAAAATTTTTAATAAAAAGAAAGAAATCTGTAGTAATGTAGCTCACCAGTCATTTCTATTTTTAAAACTTTTTTGTTGATGCTGTTAGAGAAGCAGCTATGTGGTACAGTGGACAGAGCAATAGATAATTAGAGTCATGAAGACCTGAGTTCAAATTTTGCCAGTGATATTTAGTAGCCATTTAATCATAGGGGAGTCACTTACCTTCTCCAAACCTCAGTTTCTTCATTTGCAAAACAAGGGGTTTGAACCATTCTGGACAGCAATTTGGAACTATGCCCAAAAGGTTATAAAATTGTTCAGGTCTGTATCCCAAAGATATCCACAAAAGGGGAAAATGATTTCTTTGTACAACAATATTTATAGCAGCTCTTTTTGTGGTGGCAAAGAATTGGAAATTGAGGGGATGTCCATCAATTGGGGAATGGCTAAACAAGCTGTGGTATGTGGTTATAATGGAATATTATTGTGCTATAAGAAATGACAAGCAGGATGATTTCAGAAAAACCTGGAAAGACTTACATGAACTGATGCATAATGAAGTGAACAGAACCAGGACAGTGCTGTACACAGTAACAGCATTACTGTTCGATAAAGAATTGTGAATGACTTAGCTATTCTCAGCAATACAATGATACAAGACAAGCCCAAAGGACTGATGATGAAGCATGCTGTCTGCCTCCAGAGTAAGAACTGATATTGTTTGAATAACAGACTGAAGCATGCTATTTTTCACTTTCTTTTTTTTTCTTTTATTTGAGTCTTGTACAAAATGACTAACATGGAAATATTTACATAACTACAACAACAACAACAAACTGAGGAGTTTGGCTCAATGTTCTTTAAGATCCCTCCTGCCTCTAAAGCTTAGATCCTGTGACCTTTGCTGTTAATTCATAGGATAATACAGAATCACAGTTCTGGAGCTGGAAGGGACCTCAGAGGCCACTGACTCAAAATCCTCATTTTAAAGCTGAGGAAAATAAGGAACTGAGGTCCAGGAAGTTTATGCATTTTTCCCGAAGTCACATATTTGATAAACATCAGGAGGAGGGTGTGAATTAAGGTTCTCTGCCTACAAAGTCAGAACTTATATTTCAATCATTCCTGAATATAGCCCTCTCCACCCAATACACACAATGTCGCTACTCTGCAATTGAAACTTACTTTAGTATAAAGGAAAATTTAAGCACCAAAACCCTACATAGTTACTGCCTCTAACAGGACATATGGCATTCTGCCCCAATAGTATTCACATTTCTGCTGAGAGGAAAGAGGAAGATTTCATTGTTTTCAGAGACCTAGATTGGCAACTAGATTCATCAGTTTAACTTCCTTTTAATGTTCTTTTCATTTAAATTATTGTAATCTTGGTGCATCCACTCTTTTAGTTCTCTTCATTTTACCCTGCATCACTTCATACAAGTCTTTCCACATTTCTCTGAATTCCTCATATTGATCATTTCTTTCTGTCCAATGACACCTTATTACATTTTCATAGAAGTTTATTCAGCTGTTCCCAATTTGATGTCCCCTGTCCACTTCATTTCTAATTGCTACCACATTAACCTACCAACCATTTTGCAGAGCATGGACAATGTATGAAAAGGTTATATATTCATAAAAGATACACATGTATAGGTCATCACTATTTCAGGACAGTGTTGATTTCAAGGCTATATTCCCTCTGCTCGCATTAAATTAAACTCATTACCATTTTCATCTTGATCCACTGCTATTAAACATTGTAAAGTGATTTCTTGAGTGACCCAGAGAAGAGATCTCTCGTATTGGGAACACAAAGCAATTTTTAATTTCCATGTATATAAACAGATAACCAAATACATTAAATTCAAATATATTCCACTTACCCAGGTGTTGCTTCAAATATCAACTCCAGGACTTTATGTTACCAAGAGATAGGCATGAAACAAACTCTTCAAACAAAACCACAGCTCAGCACTTGAGCAGAAGAAACTCAAGTGCACCCACAAAACATACAAATAGTAAGTCAGAAGGGCAGCATAACATAGCTAATAATATGTACTTGGAAACAGATTCACATCTTATTTTTATAATTCTATGGGTATTCCCAATATTTGTTCCCCAATGCTTCAGCAGTTCCCATGCTCATTAGCCTATTTCCTGGTGGCCCTACCTGTCTTGGATGTCAGTGGGCAAAAAGGGCATTGGCTAGGCTTCCATTTCTCATGCTGCTAGCTTCCACATAATGGAGGTAAATATGATGGTTTTTGCTGCTGAGGTAGGAAATGAAAACATTTTACCTATCTAATCAAACATGTAATGCAAAAAATCCCTGTAATTACAAAGAATTAAAAAAAGAAAGAATTTTTGCATGACTGGACAAGCCTTTCCAAGGTGTTCCTTATCAAATTAGGTTGCACTAAAAGCTCAAAACACTCAAAATATTTGAGGAAAAAGAACTGGAGCATTGCCCAACTCTCACTTGTTTTATTCATTCCTCAAATACAAATATATTTCTCTTTTCTTCTGAGTAGCAAGTTGAGATTTCTAAGTCAAATCTCCTGATCAGTCAGGCCAAGTCCTGGAGAATAGAACAATTTGTGTGGCTTCTATTACCAAGGGTGGGATATATACAATTTCCTGTTGGAGTCTCAAGTACTGACCTAGTGGGCAGGCAGCACCATCAGATATAAGATCAGTTTAACAACTTCATGTAATCAGTTGAGGTGCTGAGGTCCTGTAAGAGTGGTAACCTCCCCCCAGTGTACACAGTTTTCAGTGCTAAGCTTTATGGAGTGAGGCTACTTTTTCTATATCTCAAAACACAACACTAACGCTGTATCTCTCATTCAGCTAGTGATTGGTGCTATTAGAACCAGCAGAGTACTTTTACCTGTTGTTGGCTGTCATCTCCACATATCCAATCACTTTATATAATTGATGTTATCCGGTATACAGGCAATGTGTCTGGACTTCTCTCGCATTATGACTATCTAAGAAGATTACTGGATCTAAAAACAACCAGCAGTGTGCTGGAGTCAGCTCATGTGGATTGTTAAATTTTCAGCATGAGCATTTGTACCTCAGAAATTGGTGAATACTACAAATCAGGGCTTGATTTATTCTGTTGATTGTCTAGACTTGTTCATCTTTCATTTTCAAAAAAGACCAATGACATCACAGACTGATGTCTTCACTCGTACATGAATTGCATTAAAGGGAGGCAGAGTTGTACTCTCTCTTCCAGAGTCATTGAAATTCAGCGGCAAGGCAAAAGTCAAAGACTGGCGACAGCCCAGGATTCGGTGGATGACTTTGGCATCTTCAATGTCTGACCAAGCTCTAAGCATTCCACAGCTCCTTCTTTAGCCTCCTTCATGGTTATTGGAACAAATTGTTCTTATCCACCCATTCTGCCAGGGGAAGTCTTTACATGCTTGGGTTAGACATTTCCCTAATTCACCAATGGATTTGAGGTCTATCAATTACCCTCAACCTGGTTCAGCCGTATGCCAAGAAGGTTTTTACCAGGGTGTGACTGCTGTGCATGCTACAACTTTGTGGAGCCAAAGGTGAGAGTTGAGTGCCGAGTGGGCACCAAAGATGAGCAGCCCTCAGCAAGCCCACATACCAGAAGTGCTAGTCCTCCCCAAACACCAGATAAACCTCACTTAAGAAAGTATAAACAATGCAGATTAAACATAAAAATATGTCATGTATATACTTTTTTGTTAAACATTTACTGTACACCTCTGAATGTATCTCTGAATGTATGGACTGATCCTCTTCTCCTTCTTATGTATTTGGTGTGCCCTATTTAAGACTAAAAGGTTTGGTCACTGATTCAGTACAGTACTATTCCTAGGAGAGAGGGGTCCTATTATGGAACCCACAGATTTAAGGATGCTGCTAGAGACTGAGAAAGCATTACAAGAGTGTCTTGTGTTAATGGCACAGCTGCCACACATGTTTGTAATGAGATTTAACTAATAGACTCTTGTCTGAAGCAGAGCAATAATGGATTTTTTTTTTAAAGTGAGATTGAAAACTATAGGCTAGTGTACTTGACTTAGATTCCTGACTAGTTCTGCAATGTGTTATTAAATGGATGGTTTATGAGCATTTAGAAGTGACTAAAATGATCACTAAGAACCATTCTGGTTAGACAAAAACAGGGCATGCCAGACTAGCTTTGTTTCCTTTTCTGATAGGATTATTAGACATAGAGATGAAAGGAATGCCTCTCTCTCTCTCTCTCTCTCTCTCTCTCTCTCTCTCTCTCTCTCTCTCTCTCTCTCTCTCTCTCTCTCTCTCCCTCTCCCTCTCTTCCTCTCTCCCTCTCTCCTCCTCTCTCCCTCTCTCCCTCTCTCCCTCTTCCCCCCTTCTCCCCCCCTCCCTTTGTGTGTGTGTGTGTGTGTTTGCATGTACCAGACACGGGTCATGGGAAGGCATTTAATAAAGTTTCTTATGGAATGCTTGCAGACAAAATAGTGGAAGCTTGATGATAGTGTTACTTTGAAACTGCTTGAATGATTGATTCATTTCAAAATAATTTTTGAATGATTAATTCAAAATAATAGTCATTAATGGATTGATATCATTTTAAAGTTGAATAGAATCTAAAAGTGGAGTGCACAGGGATTCTTAATTGGTTCTTTCTTATTCAATATTTTTAGCACTCAATTGGGTAGCATAGATGACAAGAAAGCTTAGATGACATATGTATTCAGTCTGCTGATGATAGAAAGCTGAGAGAGACAGTTAACATGTTCGATGACAGACTGTCCAATCTGACAAGGATTTAGTAGGTGCCTCTGTTATGTGAAAACTACCACTTTAGGTGGCTAGGGTTCAAAGCTAGGACAGAAACAAAACAAAAAACCAAAAGCCTAAAACAAACAAAACAAAAAAGTCCCTGAGTTCAAGGAGCTTAAGTTCTATTGGGCAGGACAGGGATGCAACATTCAAATATTCAGTTCATCTACATGACAATTTGAAGAGAGAGGAGAGAGTGCTGTTAACCAAGGAGCAGTATAGGGGCTGAGCCTCGAGGCAAGTTAGGGATTCCAGATGGTGAGGGAGTTCATCCCAGGCATGGGGAACAGCCTGGGCAGTGACATAGGGGCAGGACATGGATTTCTAAGTCTGAGGAACAGCAAATATCCCATTTTGGAAATGAAGAGTGCTTGAAGGGGAGTAGTGTGCTTAAATAAGCCAAAAAAAGCTTGAGTCAGATTGAAAAATGCCTTCCTGATGTGTTTCTATTTTATCTTGCAGGCAATAGGGAGGCACTGGAATCCTTGTTTAGGGGAATGACATGGTTAGACGTGTTTTAGGTAGATTTTCTTGGCAGCTGAGTGGAGGATGGATAGGAGAGAGGAGAATCTGGAAGGCAGAACTATAACAAATTAGAAGACTGGGTCAAACGTAATAAGTTGAAATTTGATAGGGTGAAATGTAATGTTCTACTCTGATTTCTTATTGTGACATGGAGGCGATTTGAGTTCTTAGCCAAAAGATCATATGCTCTGGCAAGTTCTACAGTTTGGAAAGTCAACAGTCACACTTTAAATACTGCTGGTTGAGAACCAACCTAGAAGTTGGCTAATCGTTATGGAATCACAGAATCAAAATTGGAAGCAACCTCAGAGGCTGCATAATTGAAATGTTTCCTGAAGAAGAATCCCTTCTACAATATCCTGGGTGAGTGGTCATTCAGCCTCTGCTTGATGACCTTCTCTGAAGGACACTCAGTACCTAAGGCATTCTTATTCCTTTTATGTCACTCTATTTGTTAGGAAGTATTTCCTTTTCTCAAGCCCAAATTTGCCTCTTTGCAGCTTCTCCTGGCTTCTGTGGCAAATTGGGTAGAGGATTAAAGTTAAACAGATTTGACTCCAGCCTCTGACAGTTACTGGCTGTATGATCATGGGTAAATCATTTACTTCTCTGATCCACAGAGACTAATTTGTAACATGGCCATAATAATGCTTGGAATCTGCCTTGCAGAATTGTTGTAAGGCTTAAATGGAATGAACTAAAATATGTAAAACACTTTGCAAATTTTAATGTGCTTTATAAATACATATTATTGTTATTATTCATTTATAATTATATATGTATATAATTTTCATTAATGTATAATTATATATCATTATAATTATTGTTTCTCCTAATTCTTCCCTACCGGGGGAAACAGAAAAAGTCTGATCCCTCCTCATAAGAATATGAACCCAAAGCCCTACCTGCTGATGAATCCTTTGGCTATGGCAAACAGGAAGCAAAGTCACATTAAAAATGACGTTCAGTTCTGAGCAGCTTCCTTTAGCTTCTTTAGGAATGGTGAGAGAGAAGTTGAAAAGGGAACTGAGGGTGGGTACTAAGAATTATACAGTTTTAGATCACCTCTAAGGCAGCTTTGGTGGTACAGTGGACAGAGTGTCTGGATTCAGGAAGACTCATAACCCTCAGTTCAAATCTGGCCTCAGACACTTACTAGCTGTGTGACCCTGGGCAAGTCACTTAACCCTGTTTGCCTCAGTTTTCTCATCTGTAAAAATGAACTGGAGAAGGAAATGGCAAACCACTCCAGTGTCTTTGCCAAGAAAATCCCAAGTGGGGTCACAAAGAGTCAGACACAGCTGAAAAACAACTGAACAACAATAGATCACCTCTAAATCATTAACTTGGTTGTAGCTGTGCTAGATATGAAATCTTTGTGAAGTCCACCTACTATAATTTAATACCTGTGTATATATTGGAATCTCTGCCAAGAAGACATTTTAGAAGCAAGAGATTCTGACCTTCGTTACTTGACAGAGATCCATCTCATACTTTGGGGCCTCAATATTAAATTGAGAGGTTTGAGTCCTATATCTATGAAAGAAAAATGCCGCCCCTTCCCCCACGTCTTTTGACTCATTGGGGAGCACTTTTGCATTGACAGGAACTAA